CTGCTGCGGCTGCTGCTGCTGCCGCTGCTGCTGCTTCTTACTCTTCTCGTGTCCCCAATGCGGATTGCACTCTGAGTAGGGGTTATATAAGATCATGAACAGCAGCTGCGGAAAAGCTGCCTCGAGAGAAGCTTCTGAGCCCCAGGCGGTCGGTAGCCGTCCTTGAACCGCTCAGGCTGGTTGCTCTGGTAGTAGCCGCTCTGAGCGCAGCAGGGAAGCTTTAGGACTTTAAGGTATGGTGCCACACTTGGTTTGTAGCCTTCAACCGAGACCACCGTGGCTCTGCTCAGGACAGGGTTGTCCGCACCTTCTGCAGCTTCTCCATCTCGTGAGCTTTCATGGCCTGATTGAGCACTCTCTCCTACTCACTCGTTCTCTGTCGTTTTCGTCCGTGAAACCGTTGGAGCTTTCTGCAAGAGAGGAGTGGCGAGGTCTTGCGCAAGGCTGCACTGCTCCCGCCTCATAGAACTGGGACTGCTGAGCCTGCTGGGCCTGCATCATACACACGAGGCGTGGCAACAAAGCTGGAGACATGGCAAGCATGACTTGCAATCTGCGTTTGCGAAAGACGGCAAAGAAATCCAACCCCTCCTCGCTGGCAGCAGACATGGCAGCCAACACGGCATCTCGTTGCTCTGGTGACATGGATTCCAAGGCCTCAGATACCCATTGCGGATTTGCCAGGAACTGCATCCAGGCAGATCAGGAAGCGAGTGGCTCAAGTCCTGCTAAGCTCTCGGCAGCTTGCTGGGCTTGTGCAGCTTCCTTCATTGCAAGAGGCAGGGAATCTCCACACTGTCCAGGAAAAGCCCAAGAATGCATGCTGAGCCCGGGAATCAAAGATGAAGACATTGGATGACAAATCGTGTGCGAACTGTGCGCTCCCGCCTGTGCAGCCTGCAGCTCCCTCGCTGCGTTGGCCAAAGCCTCCTGCTGTGCCTCCACCTCACAAAACTTCAACTGTGCCAATAGCTGCCATGGGTTTCTGCTGCATATGCCGTGGACAAGTTAACCTATCAGCATCTCCAAAGCGAGGCCAAAGCATCCCTAAGCTCCTGACGGCGCCTTTCTGCGAAGGGTCGACATAGCCGCCTGCTGGCACGCGGAGTCACATTGACTTTGCTGTGGCCCCCAACTTAGATGGGCTGAGGGTGTCAAGAAGCATGAAGTGGCATTAGACTGCTGGCTCCAGAAGACGAAGCACTGACACGCCCTCATTCATGGGCTTCCTCTCTACTGTAATGCCTGTCAGATACGCAAGTCTCCTGCACATGGGCGTTGGGACCAGCAAGCACGTTTGCCAGGGGGGGTGCTTGGGACGAGATGATTTGACGTTATTGCTCTTTCTTCTCTTTCCTTGATATGGTCCTAATCTCACTTGCGTACTCTTGGCCCTGCACAAACCATCGTAAATTACAATACATGCGCCATCTGCGTCTCGAAAATCTCGGTATTTCGTGCGAGCGGCACGGTCCATTGGAAACTCCAAGACGCGCAACTCCTTCGCACATTTCCGTGTTGCTGCAAGAGCGATCCAGTGAATTTCAATAGATGCGCCGCGTGCTGCTACGGAAACCGCTATGCTTCCCACGACATGCCTTGAACTCTCGAGTTACCAGACCCTAGAATGTCTTGTTAGCCGGAAGGCTTGCTTACAGTACCGATGACTCCCGCAAGCTGAAGAGCTAGCTTTCGTGAGAAGCTAACAAACCACGGCCTAGCGCCTTCTTCCACTCACTCAGCTTAACAACGGATTTTTTGTCCCCTGATGCAGAGACTCCGTCTATCCGAACCTCGAGTGCCCTCATGTGAAGACACAAACTTCCCCATGACCTGTTTTGCCCAATACGAAAATGAAGCACTTTGGGACAGAGTATTCGAAGCCCTTCGATGTGGCCGCTCTCCTGAAGCACGACATGTTGAAGTTCAAGCATCATGACAACAGAGCATGCTACAACCAACTTATTCATGCATCCCGACGGGTCATCGGCAATTGAAGGCAGCAAGCTCGCTTATGAAATCTGAGAAATCCTCTCGCTCAAGTCTAAGGCCTGCCCTCTGACCACATCGCTCAACAGTCAGCTGCATTGGGAAAAGAAAACACACAACCTAAAATTAGCCGTAGCGAAGGGACAGACAACACTAGAATGGGGCCGTTGCAACCTGCATGCGTGACGGCCGTATGAAAGCAAAACCACCACCCAGGTGTGTGGGCGGATGCTGTGAAAGTCGTGATGGCTCAGAGAATCTCTCTCTGCGTCGGCGCCTGAGTTCATGCCCATCATCTGCTGCATCATCTGAAGCATCTCCGGAGTAGCTCCAGCCTCCGAGCACAGAGACACACCCAAGCAAAGGCAGCTACCGAAAATATCTACCAAGGCCCCGGGCTGCTGCCATGGCCTGGGCGGCGGGCAGCCCCTGCGCAGCGAGGCTCTCAAAGCTAGCGAGGCTGTCATCATGCATTTTTTTGTCAGAACGTAATGCAAGAAGTGATCGTGGCATGGTCAGACACCAGTCGTCACAGGGGCCCTGGCCATGCTTGAAGGCATCATCGCCTCACAGATAACAGTTCAGCTGCTATGCGAGAAGACCGGCTCTTGCTGCTACAAGTACCGTAAATGCCTGGCAGAGGTACTCCCAACTAAGGCAGTGTCTGGCTTAGCTCGAGACATTGGCCCGGCTTCCTCCGACCCAACTCTCAGGCCAGCGCATTTGGGGAATTAGCTGACGCGGAAGAGGCGACGCTCATTAAGTTGCTGGAGGCATCCATCTTCTGCCTCAGTACACTCAGTACAACAAAATACGGAACCGATGCTTTTTCTGCGACATCTTCCAAGACGAAGAGCCGACAAAATGCATTTTGAAGATGAAGCTCCTAAGAACTCACTCTGGGCTCTGTGCTTGTTTGCCAAGGCAGCAGGCAGCGAAGACTTGCCACCGTCCTTGCAGCGGGAGGCTAAAATGCCGGTGCTGACGCAACAGATCGATCTGACATGTGCTCAGTACTGCCTTCCGTGAGTTCCAAACAATGACTCAGCACTCTAACAGTACATCTTGAACTTCAGACACTGGGTCGGGTCCTGCCGAGGCTTGTCACCTGACATGCCACTTTCCACTCAGCACGCGATAAGCTCTCTTGCGATCAAGGCTTCAAGGTTTAGCGAGTTTAGCGGATAGTCATGCAGATGCAACCAAAGCACCGCAGCCGCCGCAGCCGCCGCAACCTCCACAGCCACCAGGTGGTCCACACGGTCCACCGCACCCCCCACAGCCGCCTGGCGGGCCGCAAGGCCCACCACACCCTCCGCAGCCTCCACAGCCGCCGGGCGGACCACCGCACCCACCGCAGCCGCCGCAGCCTCCGCAGCCCCCTGGCGGCCCACATGGCCCACCACAGCCTCCGCACCCACCGCACCCACCACCCATTCCAGGTGGTGGGAACATGGGCATGTCCGAAGGCCTCAGTTCACAAGGCAAGGCAACAAGGGGCCTAGCAAACTTTCAATGCGCAACCGTGTGCCGGGGATGTCACGCAGAGCCACCGGACCTCGCGAGCGCGATCTGACTGCTTCTGACAATCATGCATAGTTGGCTTCTCTGTAGGCACTCGGTCTAGTTGAGAGCACGACTCCATGCCCATCTTCGACATGAGCGTTGACTGCACGGGCAATCATTTGGTGACCGACGATGTGCAGAGGGGCAGTCAAAGCTGCGTTGGATCGCCTCGAACTGCTGCTGCATGTTTAAGAGCATCTTCTGCTGCTCTTGCATCTCTGGTGGCGCCTGGTCCAGGCAGTGGCTTGACAGCATGAGCACTTCTCAATAACCATGTCTGATGTTGCTTATTGCGTTTTGTCGGCATCCAAGAATGCTGCATGCGCCAAGGGTTTTGCAATTGCCGGTCCTTGTCCATGTTCGACATCACGGCGGTTTGCATTTGTTTCCTCAGCGGTGAACGTCCGCAAAAAAAAAATCGCGACCCAGGCGAGGAGTAGGAATACTATTACTATAATTCAAAACGTGGTTTAATTGAATGCAACCGAGGCTCAGCATCATTAACATCATCATCGGGTTCGGGCCGGCGCCATCGTCGTCGCTAGAGTCGTCGCTGGAGTCATCGTCATCATCTTTGTTGTCTCCGGGCGCCTTCCTCAGTCGGCGGGGCTCTGGTCCAATCTGCGCCGCGCAAGCACAAGCTGCAAGATCCGGCCTCCTGCCTGCTGCCCCCCGCAAATCTCTACAAACAACTTTTGATTACTAGCAAGTTCGATGCACGTTCTGCAGACAATCTTTCATCGCCTGCACCTAGCTGCCTAGCTTGAGGCTGGCACGGTGGCATGCCGAGCCCAGGCCTCTGTCCAAATGCAGCAAAACATCATTCTGTTTCAGCAGAATGGGACGGTGATGAGTTGCCGTGGCACTCTTCCGAAGGTGCACGTCTTCATGTCGTGCTTGCCTTTTCTGGAGCAGCATCGCTCGTTGCTTGCATGCGGGCGATCTGGCAACAGCAAGACTTGTCACTACAGCTGTTCAAGGTTTGTGCGAAATAGTGCCACGACAGTACAGCAGCACCTGAAGAACAGCTTCGGAAAGGAAATTTAACAAAACGCAACGAAGCACCGGTGGTGTATTCGTGTTTGCTTGTTGTCAGACGCGTCCGTCTGCAACATGCAAAGGGGATTGGTGAGCAGCAGAAGGGGCAGTAGCAAAGCAATAATTTCAAAAAAAACGCAATCCTTCTCCTCCTTGTCTTCGCGACTAAGACTATGTAGCACTTTGCATACTGCTTTGCACCATGTGCAACCCCATCTTTTCATTCCTTCGGTCTCTCCAGTGTCGCGAATCCCTCACCTCACGCATGCCATAAAAGACACACAGAAGAGCTCATCTATCGTTCGTGATTAGACTCAGACGGACTGTGGGCATTCGACGTTGACCTGATGATCAGTTCTATCACTTCCTGGCGCCTGTCCTCTGAGAGCGGTGCCCAGGTCCGGTGTTAAAGCAAGGCATCGGACCACCACCCTGACAACGAGAGTCAGAGCATCACCGAACCTGTCCATGCTCCAATATGCTGCGTGACATCAGATTGTGCAAAGGCCCACTGCCCTCATCCCTGTCGTTTATGACCAAAGCCCGAAGCCAAGTCCCGGACATGATGTCTATGCCCATCCACATCTAGGTCACAGACACTTTTCGCTGGAATCATCGCCATTGAGCCAGGCTTGGGTGGGAACCTGAGAAATGGCTCTAATGCGGCTTGCCTCTTTTCGGTGTCCTGGTTTGTCTTCTGAACGTGGGTGCAGCTTCCGTACCAGACTGCAGGACGAAGTCTGTGACGTCATGAGCTACCTTAAACTGCAGAAGAAGTAGATACCCTTTACCTTTAAAAGCCATCATACATTCATATCTATATAAGCCGCGCTAAATGACTATGCTAGCACAGAAGCAGAAGCAGTACAGAGGGGAGCAGTCAATGTCGATCACAGAAGTCGCAGTCGTGTTCGGTTTTTGTGTTGCCTCGAATGCCTCGACTTCTGCCCGGCTCATGTCCACTAGAGCAACCCCAGAAAGAAACCCAAAGTGACCAGCACGAAACCTGAAGCTTGCACGGGCTGTTTGAGTGATCAGAACACTAGAATCACTAGAACTTCGAAGGTCCCTGTCAGCGACGATGCTTGCCTCAAACGACACAAGTCGTACTTCGCTTATTAATGATCTACCGGACAGGTAGATCTGTAGAGCAATGCTCGCTACACAACCCTGCAAGTCAAGCTTTCAACAGTAAGGCTTCTGTGCAAAGACGACATGCGGCAAGAACCTTCTCCAGCGACTATATGCAGCTGCTTGTGGTTCTGCTCGGGCTCCCCACGGCTGCCCCGGTGGCGGCAGAGGCATGCCCTGCCAACAAGAGCAAAGTAAGGTGACTTGTTGGAAGTGTCAGAACACGAAACATTACGCAACATTGAGAGGTGGCCAAGAAGCTGGAAGGGACGAAGGAGGCATAGAAGCGTTTCAGAGGCATACATAGGGCGGGCACCGGAGAGTGACTACTCGCAGGATCAACCATGTTACAATGTTGCGTCTGCAGCATGTCCCTGCCATTCCACGGGCAGCCACTCAGAGAACGCAGACCGAAAGCAAGATGCAACCCAAAGTCTCCCTCTCCCTCGTCGCACCGACTTCACCGGGATGGGTGGCGGCCCCGGTGCGCCGAACTTGGGTGGGATCCTCGAGATGAGCAAGTAGTGTGCAGACCCGGCTCGATCTATGCAATCTATGCACAGAGCTGAGGTGCAGGCGTCTTCGGTGGACCCTGTGCCAGCACATGTTGGCATGTCACTGCTCTGGGACTCGAGTCAACTCGACTAGCTCGACCTCGTCCGGCTTTCTCATGGCCATCATCGCTGCAGGGAGGCCGCCCGCGGACTGCGGCAAAGGCAGATGTCGGGCTGTCGGGACCATTTGGTTTGCAGCTGCGCAGCAACGTCTCCCGTACCTTCGCCGCTCCTGCCATGCCCGGCATGCCCATGCCTCGGCAATGCATGGAGCCTCCTGTCAGGCTGCGCTGGCGAGAACAGTGGCAAAATCCGATTTAAGGCCGTTGCCAGGACCCGATGCCGGCATTTGCATACCTAAGTGTGCAGAGATCAGGCTTCGAACAGTGCTTCGGAGTTAAAAACAATTTACAAGCCACTTCCCTGCCTGGCCCCTTCGGCGGCGCGCCAAAGGCAGCCGGCATACCTGAGAGCTGCCAGCTGTTGAAAAAGCGGAGCAGCGCCGCAGCCTCAACCGTCGCTCGGGGGCGCACCCATGCCCTTGGGCTCCTCGGGGATGCCTCGAAGTCTCGAAGCGCAAGTCGCACCGGCTGGGCTTCGCCAAGCTCCGCCGGGCTTCCGGCCAGAGAGCGGAGTGGGCCTCGACCTGAGCAAGTTTCTGCATTTCGGAGAGACCTGGTCTCAGTGACTTGCCGAGGCTTCTGCTCTTCTCTGGATTCATTATTCCTCAGAGGCTTCACTCTGAGACAAAGCACTTGCTCAGAAACTCTGCTTCAGCTCTATGTGGCTAACATGGCTTTTCCACAAGATGGGTGGTGATCCAGTCACTGCGTTCCTTCACGACACCTTGTCCTTGTCTTTGTTCATCCTAACCAGACGCCTCACTAAACCTCAACCATAGATGGTGCATGATCAAACACGGCGGTTGCCCCCAACTGTCGCTTGCCCCTAACATTGTCGATATGACGATATGACGAAGAATGGCACGCCCAAGACAGAGCGAGAGAGTGACACAGGGAAAGAGACAGAAGAGAGGGGGAGAGGGACAAGGAGAGATGACAGAGAGAACGAGACTGCCACGCACAACAACCAGCAACACTCTCAACAACCATACCATCCCCAGAAACAGGCCCGAATGCCGGCACGATGGAGACAGACAGAGAATTCGGCTTTGGCAATGCACTCTTTCGGACGCATGGGCCCTGCCTTCTACGCTAGTTAATCCGCCTTTTTCTGGGTTCCCGGCTTTTCTGCATCCCTTTCTGCTTTTTCCTTATCCCTCAGCCGCACAGCAAGCTAAATGTCACACTGTTTCCACGGCCATTGCCAAGAAGACACCGCTTTCAGTTGAGCCCGCGGCTTGTCTAAACCCAACAACGCTGCAGCGGCATTGTTGAAGAAGGATGAGGGGATGTGCCTTGGAACACTGTTTGCCCTGAAGTCCTTCCAAACCCAGAAGGCTTTGCAGTCTGTACAACACGTATCAATCGCTAGCTCCCTCCGTATATTTGATGTTTCTGGTTTGATCGTAAATCCGCAAGAGCCGAGGACATGTGTGTCCAGCACTGGCCACTCGTCAATGCATTCGCGGAAGCACTGGGCCCCGACGAGGTCGCAGCCAAGTACTCGGCCTAGGAGGCGTGTGAAAGGTTTCTGGTCTACACATGCAAGAACAGCCAGGCACTCGGAAAACACCGACTGATTGTGCCCTCGTCTCGGATTCAATGATACCCCGTTCTGATACACCCGTTTATGGTGGCTGGAATACTGGAGGCAGCATGAACAACATCCAGCAGCACGACCGCAGAAAACTTACAGAGCAAACGCCGCTTTTACTTCAGGCGATGTCGGACTGCTGCAGCGCAAACCAGAGTGAGAACTGCTGGCAGCATCATGGCGCCCTGCAGCTGAAGAAAATTGGCAGGTGCACGAAACGCTTCACTCCGCGCTACTGCATCCCATCCCATCCCTTCCCTTATCCCACGCCTGGTCAGGCCACTTGTCGTAGATGAGGCCCAGGACCTGAGGCCAGATCCGAGTTCCTGTTTGCTGACACCGTCACGTCAACGTCGGAAGCTAGGACCGCAGCCGGTGGGGCCAGGAAGAAGACCAGATCCCCCGCTTGCCGGCCCAGCGAGAGGGCAGAGCCCACCTTTTCCTCGCTCGCTGGATTGACCGTTCATGCAACGGCACACAGCACGGAGTTGCCAACTTGACTACGAGGTGATACTGCTGCAAAACATGCCTTGGACCAAACGCCTTGGGCTTCAGTTGTGCTGGCCGAAACAACATGGCTCTGCATACCCAGTGAGTATGTGCCCTCGGGCTTGCAAAGCACCACATGGTGCAAGTATGCAGCATGCAGGATTGCTTGACGCGGGTACAGTTTTTTGAAATTCTTGCCACCTACACCTGGCGAGACCAAAAGATTCAATGGCAGTGCTACTGAAGATAGGTCTCTGTTCCGGTGCCAACAGCCCCCAAATGACAGGACAGTGTGAAAGAGATACCCTTCGTGCCTTTGGGGCAATGTCGGCAGCGTATGCGCTCAGCACGGGCCCCTAGGTCTCGTGTGAGTCGTCATGGAACTTCGCTTTCGACTCTTATCCGGCTCGATTTGCTTGACGAGCTACGAGCACGGCTTCGCCCACGGACCACAGAAGGTTTGACAGCACGAATAGCTCCCACCTGCCCAGGCTTCAGCTTGGCTGGACATTGAAATGGCACGACTCCTGCTGGATTGACGGACGATCAGCCAAGGAGCTGCTGGCTGAAGGCCACTCCAAAGCAGCCGGCTGCGCAAACGGCCAGAGACGGCGCGAGGAGTGGGGCACGGCCCCATCCTTAGTAAGCCCAACAGATCGCAGGACCACAGCGACAGGTTGCAACGTCGGCTTGACGTTCACAGACGCGCAGTCTCACGGCATTTCACGCAGAAGTATTGTGTGAAGTGCGAACCAGGCACGATCCGACAGGGCTCCTGCAACTGGAGCCAGGAAGATGCCCGTTGCAGATCCTGGCAAACTGTAAACACTGTAACCAGCTTCCAATGAGCTTGTACTTAACGCCGCTACCTTGCAAGACCTTGCCGTTCCGTTCGTGTCTCCAGGATCCACTGACATAGGCTAGCTGGTCTCTGGAATCCTGTGGCAAAGCAGTCCTATAGAGAAAAGGCCGCCAATCTCGGCAGCCTGACAGAGCCGGTCACAGGCAGGCCCTTCCTGAACGGAGTGCCTCACCACTGAGCACTGCACCGTCGTGCCAAAGGTATGAAATGCTTGCAAGGGCATGATCGTTACCTGGGCCGCTTGGAACCCAACCGAAGGATGTCAGAGCACGGAGACGCTGCGCCAATCGAAGCAACATAACCCGAGCTTTTTGCAAGTCCAGTTGCAAGGGCTGCATAGTTCAGCGAAAGTGCAAGGTTACAAGCAAAAAGTGCCTGCGTGAAGATCAAATCAGATAGTCGAGACCATCACAACATGCTTGTCCAAAATCTCGACCAAACCACTTATGATTTCTCTTGCAAAGGTTTGCGCATCGGCAATCGGAAAGGCACCTGCTGCCGCGGATCCTGCAGGAGACTGCGCCAGTCATTCGCAGCATCTCGCAGCAGGATGCCCAGACGCATCTCCACGCCGGATGTTCGCTGCCGCGGCTCCTGCATGCCCAGCAACCCACCTCTTTTGCACACGACAGCTTCGCGGATGCGCGAGTCTGTGCCATGCTGTACGTGCCAGGCCGGCAGCGTGGCATAAGCAGCGCCGCAGACCGCAATCAGCCCCGCGACCGTCGTGTAGGCCATCGGGGCGCCATAGCGCTGGGTCAGCACGCCACCTGACCGTAACCGACCGTAACCAGCACTCTGTGCAGGATCTGATCGCGACTCTTGTTCGGGAAGTGTCAGCTTCGTCCAGCCTACCACTGGGCCCACAACATAAGCTGCAGAGATGAGCCCGCCCTGGGCGCCAACCTTAAGGTCGGTCATGCAGTGTGCGACTCTGCGACTCATGAGAGAGCCCACGCATGAGCAACTCAAGAAACCTGTGCAACAGTGTGCACACACCCTCAGGGGGGCTCAACCCGAAAAGCATAGCTGGATGTCCGAGTCTCGATGGCGCCACGAAAGGGCTTGAGGTGGGACTTCTCGGTCATGTCTGCCTGAGGCTCCCTGGCCCTAGCCCAGGTCCGAGGGCCTCGCCTTCGCTTACGACGGCTACTTCTTAAGGCAAGGCTCGACGTAAGCCGCTGAACCCGCTGCTGCCAGGGAAGCCCCGGAACCGCCAAGGAAGCGCAAAGGCAACATCGTGCCTGCGATGGCTGCAACATGTCAGCGTGAACGCCGCACGATTCCAGCTCTGTCCTGCCTATGGAAGTTCCCAGAGCAGTTCCCAGACCTTGGCTGGTAGGGGCTTGTGGCTTGTGCCGCTCCCTCTCTTCGGGACCTCTGAGACGCTGGCAGCCCATGGCAGCGACGAGCTCTCCCACGACCATCGCCGGGACCCTTCCAAGGCCTCGGCCCACAGAAGCTGATGGCAACGGCAAAGAGCTGTGTGCCATCGACCACAGCTCGGAGCTCGGGCGGTCCACCAGGACGCCGGCAGGCAGGTTGACGAGCACCCTTGCCAGGCCTCGAGGCTTGGAATTTCGGGCTTTGGAGGGCTTCTGACCCGACCGCACAGGTCAAGCAGGGCTCGCTGCCTGGAACTCCCAGCAACAGACCCACGCCGAGAGCTCCAAATCCAAGCTCCTGCGAATGCACGTCGCGGCTCCACTTCTTTCGGACAAAGTGCAGCAAAGTCGAGGCATGCCCAGCTGTCCTGTGAAAGCGCGGGCAGCGCTGGAATCACGACTCCAAAGCCTGCATGCACCGAGAAAGCGTGCGCAACAAGAAAGGCGCGGTCCCTCAAAGATCATCTGAAGATCTCAAGGATAGGATCAACACGGTCCCAGCTCCAAGGGGCTTAAGATTCTTGATGTGAGTCGGCAGTGCTTCGAGATCCGTCGTGGCCCCGGCCTAGGTTCAAGACGGCCCCCGATGCAGAGAGCACCTCGGGCACGGACAAACCTCTGAACAACTACAAAGATCTGAGGAAGAGAATATGCACAGTGGGGCATCGATAATGAGGAGACACTTGGGGAAAAGCTATGCTTGCTCTACTTTCAAACCGCTGGTCAGCTTTTCAATCCAGACCACCGCCAACTGCCGGCGCTCCTCTCTGGAGCATGAAGCCCAAGCAGCGGCGAGTCCTGTCACTCCATGGTAGCTTGCACCTAAAGAGTCCTGCATGCCTGTTGTGCAGAGACCGCTGCCTGGCTGGGTTCGTTTCCCATGGCCTGCGTAGAGCTGGGCAAAGACACGTCGATGCAGGCATCTCTTGCATGATTGCCACTTGCGGTGCTACGGCGCCACCTCCTTGCGCGCAGCAGCGCGAGCCTCGTAGGCGATGGCACGCAGCCCATTGCACGGGTCGGAGGCGGCGGAGCATCGGCACCGGTTTGACAGCCGGGGTTGAAGGACTGTCTGAGTTGAAGCTCAAGTCTACCAAACTTGTGGGAGCTCAGGGGGTTGATTCGCTCTTCGGGCGAGCTTGCTTCCTTGAGCGAGGATGATCAATGCCGATGGGTTAATTCCCCCCTTTTATTAAACACCCCCCTAATAATAAAAACACACTGGGGCGAATCCTCCGGAAATCATCACTGCCCTTTAAACCCTTTTCTGAATTGGGGGGAAGGGTTTCTAGGCTCCGAATACCCTTAGAGCACAGTAAGAGCAAGAGCAAAAGCAAAAGCAAGAGCAGGAGTTAGAGCAAGAGTAGGAGCAAGAGCAAAAAAAGGGAGCATCAGCAAGAGCAAAGCAAAAGCAAGAGCGGGAGTAAGAGCACGAGCAGCAAAAGCAACAGCAACAGCAAGAGCAGGAGCAGGCGCAAGAGACGCAGCAGAAGCAGGAGCAACAGCCGGCGCAGGAGCAAGAGCACGACCCCTCAAAAGCGGCAGTAGAGATACAAATACCCCCTAATAATACAAACACTTTCCCACATTTTAATGGGGGGGCATAAGAGCGGGCGCAGGGCGTTGCGGCATTCAGACTTTTTGGGCCGCGATGCGCCTCTGCAGCGGTCGACTCCGTGGCTCAGCTTGGGCATCGCAATTTATGGCCGTGTCTTTTTCGGACAAGGCCTAGCTCCCGGTCAGCAAGGCAAGCCAGCTAGCCGAAGTGGTTCTTTGGCGGCTTTCGCGGCAAACCATCTTCCCGATGCATGAGGACAGCCAAATAGACGCTGAAAGCCCACCCTATCAGCATAGCGCAGCTTGCCGTCGCGATGAGGCCGTCGCCCGTCGGCCTGCATGCAGCTAAAAGACCTCTAGGCCGACATGCCATGAGAGCAAAGGCTCTACCGTGCAGCAGCTACCGCTGCAGTCTAAAGGAAGGATTATAAAGGATTGCACGTCAAGATTCTCTGTGGTGCATTACCAAAGGTACCTAGGTGAAGCTGCAGCTTATCCTGAGTGCTACAGTACAGGTGCCAGTCCAATATGACGTGCTCCAGACTGCTCGAGCCTCGGGAGCTGGAGAACTGCATCCACGAAGTAGGCAATGATCCCTGCCAGGGAGGTCAAGAAACCTGCA